CACTGCTGTCATTCTAGTAGAGTCTGGGGAAGCAGTGATGTAGACATGGATGTGCATTCTGCCATCTTTAATTAGAGTCCCCATCCGTTTGTAGACCCTGTTTTTGGACTCTGCCTCCTTTGTTTCTTTTTGGCAGTGAAAATGCAGAGGAAAGGAGGGATGGGACGTTGGACTGCCAGTTGGTGCATCTGCTAGTGTTCTCTTTCCTGAAGACATTTTATCGATGGTTGGTGTTCTTCTAAATTGATGACTAACAAACTGTTTCTTCCTTTTTTTCTTGACCTACATACTTTTAACCTTAAAACATTCAAGAGTAATTTCACATGGGTTACTGAGGAAATGACTCACCTCTGATTTATTAGTAAGCGTATGTGTCCAGCCTGCCCAGACTATGTAGGTGGTGTGTGTCTATGCTTTAAATCAAGTTTCAGCTGGGCTGGGCGTGGCTCAGTGGTTAAGCATTGAACTAGGATCCAGGAGATAGAGGTTTGATTCCCGATCAGGGCACATGCCGGAGTTGTGGGCTCAACGTGCAGGAGGCAGCTGATCAATGACTCTCTCATCATTGATGTTTCCATCTCTCTCTCTCCCTCTCTCTGAAATCAATAAAGATATATTTTATAAATAAATAAATCAAGTTCCAGCAACAGTTTTGCACTGTATTCTTTATATTAGCAAAGGAATACAGCCTGTTTGTCCAAAGGGATTTCCATGACTGCACATACGTAATGTGTATTCTTTCTTTGAACAGTTGCACACTGACAAGAAACAGATCAGCGTTGGGTTCATTGGCTATCCAAATGTTGGCAAGAGCTCTGTGATAAACACGTTACGCTCCAAGAAAGTGTGCAGCGTGGCCCCCATTGCAGGTGAAACAAAGGTATGCCTTCCAAGTATTTTATTTCCATGGAGGGTAATTTTTTAGGATGTGTAGTTTTCTGTCTGCTGCTCTCGAATGAAGACTACCGTTGAAGGGTTAGCCTCACCATAATAGTTTGGAATGTACCATGTGGTTAGTGTCTGCCCATTTTGATAAGATTTAAGAGTACTTTGTATGCCACTGTGTGGCTTTGGCCTGATTTGGTAAGTGCCATTCATATTTAAGTCTGTTTTAAATTGTCACTGCAACCTTTTACTTTGATAAACTAAGCTAACTCAAGAATATCTGGTGAGTTATGAAAGAAAGCTCAACATTAGGGTAGATTCTGGCAGTTGGGGGTCATATCCTGGAACGCAGAATGTTTGGAGGGCAGCATGGTTCTGCTGAAAGGAAGAGAGGCCGAACAGTATTCAGCTTCCAAGAGTATTTTTTTTTTTCCAAGAGTACTTCTAAAGTCAGGGAAAGGTTTACTGGATGTTATTGCACAATACTAGATGGGAATCCTGCCTCTGCTTTATTTTTAGACTCTTGGCTGATGGAAACCGTAGTTGATGCTTAGCGAGTGCCTGTTGTGTGGCGAACATACAATAGAGAGTCTGTAGCTTACTCAGCAGGTGGCTTATCTTGGACCCTCCTCCTTCAGGAGCATGGGGTTTGTGACATTAGACTGCTAGTGTTCAATCCAGGAGTATCTGGCTCTTTTCTGTCTCAGGTCTGGCAGTATATCACCTTGATGCGCCGGATATTCCTCATCGACTGTCCTGGTGTGGTTTACCCCTCTGAGGACTCGGAGACAGACATCGTGCTGAAAGGCGTTGTGAGTACTCTGGTCCTCTCAGGCTCTCGGGCTGCCTTTCAGGGGAAGTGTTCTATGGGGAACACTGGATACCTCTTTTCTTCACTCCAGAAGACAGTTCGGGGTCAAGCTGTCTGACCAGACTTTAGGAGCATGATGCTGAACAGGGCACCCTCTCCATTCCCTTCAGCCTGTTTGAGGAGTTAGTGGAACCATGGGCATATCTGGTTAATGTCATCCCACAAAAGAGTTTGTAGTTTACACGGGATCCAAGGGGAAGCAGGGCCTGTTTATGTTTAGTGATAATTCATCTTCGTGGGTTTATGAGTTGAGTCATTTTGGATCGCAGTCATTTCCTCACTTGTTTCTGTATACGACCAAAGACTTTAACTGGTTCCACTTAACCTTAACCAGTGCTGCTGGCTATACATCCTGCACACATTCCTCCCCTCCTCTCTCAAGCTCTTCCCTTCTCCTTGTGTGCTGGGATTGGCAGGCTTTTAACCATTTCTGCAAGTGAGTAGCATGAAGCTGTCCAAGTTTAAACTGCTTGTGGAAGCCACTCAGTTAGTTTGTGGTGAACTGGGATTAGAGCTGAGTCCTGGGCTCCATGGCTGTGGCTGGCTTTCAGTGGCACTCCTTCCAGCTGACCATGTCCTGCCACCTCAGAGACAGGCCCCTGCCAGGCCCCACTTGCTGTGTGGTTTTGAAATCTGTTTTCAGATATTGTTACAAACAACACCGGGAACTTCCCTGCTTCTATAATAAGATTTGTAAGCAAAAGCTTTCCTATTAACATCTAGGTTCAAGTTGAAAAAATTAAGACTCCTGAGGACCACATTGGTGCTGTACTCGAGCGAGCAAAACCAGAATATATCAGTAAGACGTACAAGATTGATTCTTGGGAGAATGCCGAGGACTTCCTTGAGAAGCTAGCTTTCCGGACTGGGAAGTTATTAAAGGTGAGCAGGGTTTGGGGGATTTCAGATGGGGACGTCTTGCAGGCATGTGTGTACATGGTGTGGACCTTCCTTTGTCTGCAGTGTGTGAGCAGCATGAAACCCAGTGGCAAGTGAATGGTGATGAACAACTGGGAGAGCTGATGTGCCTCCAAACGGGGGGGTGGTTTTGTTCTTTGAATTTAATTGGGAGTCTTTGACATTTCAGGGCGGTGAGCCTGACTTGCAGACTGTGGGGAAGATGGTTCTCAATGACTGGCAGAGGGGCCGCATTCCTTTCTTTGTCAAGCCACCCAATGCAGAGCCCCCTGCAGAGGCCCCTGCAACCCCCCAGGTAAGGACAGGGTGTACCCACCTCTTGGAAAGCATGGTTACTGACCTAGGTGTGGTGTCTTGATTGCAGGTAGGTATTTCAGCTTCAGTGTTTCCCAGTCCAGGGTGCCATCACCTTGACCTTGTTGGAAGGTGGCGTTTGGAGACCAGAAAATAGATGTGTAATAGAAGACCAATTTTAAATACTAGTCTTTAGGGCCTTGCAAAAAAGAGGGCTCATTAAATGTAAGTGCTCTTCTGGTACCTGTGTCTTTTCTGACACTTGAGGATCAGGCATTTCCAAGATTCATTTCTTATAACAGTAATTTATTAGACCAGCCACGTGCTGGGCATAGGGAATGAAGGAATAAATCACATAGCCCTTGCCATAAGGAAGCTCTAATCAGGTGGGAGAGGAGAGTGGTGCATTTGATACTCAGGGAAAAAAGTCTTCGACTTGGGGCCTCTGGGCTGGAATGAGATGCCTCCCTACTGTTCCATGTCCCTCAGCCTGGCAGTGGACTTCCATGAGCTCCAACCTTAGCACTGTGTTTTTCTATCTCTAGAATCGACTTCAGAGCTCAGCCAGCTCTCTTGAAGAGGAGACTGAGTTTCGCTTTCATGCTGATTTTTTGAGTCTATATAGCTCTTGTTTCCTCTTACCTGAGCTCTATCCCTGGAGGTTCAGATGTCATCTAGAAATTTCTAGTAGCAAAATGTATTGCCTATCTCCTGTGTGCCAGGCACTCTTCTGGGTACTAGAGGTGCTGCAGTGAAAAGAGGCAAGTCCTCGCCCTCCTGCACAGATTCACGCATATACGTGTGTATATACAGGGGTGAGCTGGGGATCGAATCTGCAACCCAGGTAGATGCCCTTGACCTGAAATTGAACCCGTGACCCTTCCATGCATGGGCCAAGGCTGCAACCACTGAGTCACACCGGCCAGGGCCCTAGTCACCAAGTTTAGATAATTAGCCCCCCCACTCTGTGATTCTCATCTTTTTCTTTTTTTGGGGGGGGGGTGGCAGAAACACCCTTGAGAATCCAAAAGCTAAAAAATTACTTTATTAGAAAAATATACACAATTGTATATATACATTTAGCACTTTTTTTTGAAAATCACGTAAGTTCTGTGAGTTTCAGTTGCAAGAATAAAATATTACATCTGGGAAGCACCCGTATAAAGCCTGGCACATCTGTTTGCATCGTTATTTTGTGGTCCTGCTCCTTCTGAACTCGCTTTTATACCCTTCTGGATGTCTCCCAGTGCCTCTCCTTAGCACTAGACATTTCCTAAACTAACACTACTTTCATTCTTCCATAGTTGTGTGTCCAAATTTTGAATTTCTTATCTTCACAATGCCTGTTCCTTATAGTTCTCAGGGAAGGTGCAGGGAATCTCACCTGTCTAGCAGTGAACAGGCGATTGGTTGTAATGATGAAATACTCTTACAGTGGGATCTTCCTTTGGAAATGCAGATAGTCCTTTGATCTTTAATGCTGGGTTCTGAGTTTAATGCACATTGGCTAACAACAGATGAGTGATATGACTCCAGTTTGGGTGTTCTCAGCACTCCCCCTTATTCCTGAGACGAGCACTACCTCATTTGGGAGCAAGGTATAAATTCAGAAAGTCAGTTTTTATTTTCTGATTCCATTTCTCTCCCCCTGCTCCTTTTTGGCCTGAATAGCTTCCACCCTCATCATCTTTGGAAGCTGCCCCAGAAGCAACCCAGAACAACCCAGAAGAGAAAATTACAGAAACTGTAGGTGAAGAGTCAGCATCTGTCGTTGAGAAGGAACAAGGAGAGGACAGTCCCTGTGACGCCAACTCAGAGATGCAGCAGATCCTCGCACGGGTGCGGCAGAACTTCGGCAAAATCAACGTCGTGCCTGAGTTTTCTGGGGATGACCTGGTTCCTTTGGAGATGTCAGATATCGATGAGGAGCTTGAGAGCTCTTTGGAGGAGGAGGAGGAGGAGGAGGAAGAACAGGAGCAACAGGGAGGAGAGGAAGAGGATTGCCCAGAGTCCCGGGAAGAACACGTGGGAAATGACACCAAGGCAGCTATTAAAGCCCTGGATGAAAAGATTGCCAAATACCAGAAGTTTTTAAACAAAGCCAAAGCAAAAAAGTTTTCAGCGGTCAGGTATTTCCATTTCCTCACGAATCGCAGTTTGCTTCTTTCCAAGAAGCTTGCCATGAACACTGGAGTGATATATTTACGGGAGTGAGGGGGGATTAGGGGGTTTTGCCCACATTTTAAAAAAGTGATCTGTCACATTTTAAAAATTCGGCTCCCTAAAATATGAAAAGCTTCATTGTTGTCTTTATAAATGCTCAGGGAGCTGCAAAAACCGTTGGGTATTGCCTTCTACCAGTGGTGGTAACTGAAGAGGGGTGGGCTGTCTAATCTGTGAGGCTGTCATAAGTCAGCGTGTGACTTGGGCAGTGGAAGGGAATGTCCAAGAGCTTCATTATCTTGCTTTTCTATTTCAGAATATCCAAGGGACTAAGTGAAATGGTTTTTGCAAAATCTGAAGAGCAAAAAGCAACAACTGAAGAAGATGTGGAAGATGCAGGTAGAGTTAAATTTTTAGATGTGATTCGCATCTTCGGGAAATCCAAGTTAAACCTCCAGATTACCTCTTGTGCCATTATCCACACAGTGATTTACACCTTGGTTCCACAATCTATTTATAATACAAATGGGATTATCCACTTTTTATTGTGCACATTTCTTAGGATTAAAGTGGTCATTCAGGAAACTTCCTCTTAAACAGGTTACATTCTTTACCTTATCATTTAAGGGTGGGTCTGCAGACAGATTTTATTATTTGCAGTGGGCAGGGTGGTTCATGGATTTATTTTTTACTCCATTGGACTAACAGCTTCTAAATCGAGAGTGTGTTTTCCTAACACACCCTGCCATGGCCCATGAGGTCCTTCCTGGCCTGGCGCCCTCCCTTTCTTATCTTGCTCCACTCTGCGCTTTGCTCACCCAGTTCCATTCACTCTGGTCTTTTTCCTTCTTCCAACACATCAAGCTCATTCCCACCTTAGGATTCACAGACACATTTTGAATAGAAAACTCTTGTTTATTTTCTCCGTGTGTGTGTGTGTGTGATGTGCCTGGTACCTGTAGCACCTGCCAAAAAGGGAAGGAAGAGGAAGGCACAGAGAGAAGAGGAGCATTCAAATAAAACTCGCAAGACGCTTACATCTAAGGAAGTACGTGCTTTTTGTTTTAAGTATCATCCAGGTATAGAAAATAGGAGGAACCCGGTTCTTATGATGCGCTCTTTTGAAAATAGTGGTCTAGAGTTGAGTTCAAGGAAACCCCNAGAAAATAGGAGGAACCCGGTTCTTATGATGCGCTCTTTTGAAAATAGTGGTCTAGAGTTGAGTTCAAGGTCCCAAGTGACCTAGTTGAGGGCAGTTAAATAGTATCAAGAGTTGGCCCAATGGATGAAGGTCTTGAGTTCGTGTCTTACGGTTTAGGAGTTCCTTATCACTGTCCTCAAGTGTAGCCTGTCATCTGGAAGCATCTGCTGGTTTTATGTGGCCCCAGGGAAGTGACACATGATGAGCAAAGCTGTTATTAGGCAGGCAGATCACTTTCCCCTGTGAAGTTAGCTCTTCACAGCTGGAATGGGCCCTCTTGGGGGGTAGAGAGCTTGTTGTTGTAAGTGTTCGGCCTTTAACCAGGGGCCCACAGTGCAGTAGAAAGGATCTAAGCATTGGATGAGGGCTTGACCAATGGAGTCTGTAACTCGGACTTGTCACGAATCACAGTGGAAGAGTAAACTTGGGTCTGGGAGGTGGACCCTCCCTCGTTAGCACTGACTGCGTCCAGTAGTCCTGGAGGTCCATGGGAATGGAGCACAGAGAAACAGGCCTGTTTTGTGGTTGTCAGTGTTTGAATGGTTTGCCTTTTTTTTTTTTTTTTTTTTTTACAGCGGAGGCGAGCAGCACGGAAGCAACAATCCAGAAAAGTTGGTGTCCGCTACTATGAAACACACAACGTGAAAAATAGAAACAGGAACAAAAAGAAGACCAGTGACTCAGAGGGACAGAAACATAAACACAAGAAATTCAAGAATAAGCAGTAACATTTTAAAAGCTGTTTATTAAATTATACAAAAATATGCCATTAGAAACGTTATTTTCTTCACGCCCAGTTGGCATTTCTAAGGCCACAGTGCGTTCTGAGGTTTGACAGGTGGAACCATTCACCGGTGCCAGTGAAAATACAGAGTCCTCCCACCCCGTGGGCTTCAGCAATGGAGTCCATTGGCACTTTGGACACTGGAAGCAGCGCTGTCACGTAAATGTCTGACAGAAATGGAATAGGGCTATGAAATGGGAAGTGTGGTATTTCTTTTGTACTGGCAGCAGTGTGGAACAGAAGCTATTTGGACTAGAACAGTAGTAAAATTTCAAGGATGTAAGGATGTAGTGTACATGGCCTAGGCTTCAAAATATGAAGAAAAGGCCACAGCAGCTTCTATTGCCCCTCATTGCATCTGGGAGGTGGATCCAGTTGGGACATATGTGTTCTTCTGTCAAGGATTCGTGGCACTAGTATATCTCAGTGACCAGCATTCCCCATGAAAACAAGAGCAGACAGGTCGTAGAGTGTCTTAGAATCCTCAGGACCCTGGACAAGGGCGGAAGCTGTGACTTCAAATTTGAGTGGTATGAACCAGCACGTTTGACTTTGTGAGATGTAGCTCTTGTCAGACTGCAGCTCAGTGAGCCCGGAAGCCCTGATCGGGTGGGTGGCAGGTCAAGGCTCCACTACAGAGTGCATACCTCTTCAGGGGAATATTGAGCACTTGGAAAACATTCCAACTGAGGGGATGTCAGTAAGGGTGCTCAGCTTGCTGCCCTAAACTGCCTGGTCTGCCCTGAATTAAAGATTTTTGTTGCTCATGTAATCTGGGTCTATGAAACCAGAAGAGTCCCCAGCCTCCAAACTTTGAATTTAACTTAAGAGGAATAGTAAAATGCAGTTGCCTGCAGACCATAGCCTGGTTATTAATAGAACTGCTTATAAGGTTTGGGACCTCTCCCATTGTTAATTAAACATAGCTAGTTAGAGGGCTGTAGGGCCAGGGTTTGAACAAATTGGTGTTGGGGGAGGAGCCTGAGGTGCAAGCAGCTCACGGTGGACACTGACTTGTAGTTCTTTCCCAGAAACATTTACTGAAAAGCCATGGGTGTGACTCTGCCCTTGCCTCCTCACCTAGGCAGCCTGAAACTAGTGGGGAAGGGGTCCAGTTGAGTTCCTAGGGCTGTGTTGGAGCCGGGATGATGGAAATAGATCAAGTAAGGGGAAAACTGATGCCAGAGGAGTCCAAGTTAAGGCCCAAGGTGAACTGTGGACCAGAAATGGCTTCAGTCGGCTAGTATAAGTGATGAGAGAGCAGTTGCTTCACCTGAGAGGGACACAGCAGAAAGGGGTGGACTCTAAGTCTGACTGTTTGAGTTGGCAAATCCCAAGGCTGGCCATATACTCAGACTATCTGGGCTGCACCACCTTCCATTGCCAACCAGGAGCCTGGCTGCCAGACTTAGGTGCATCATGACACTGGGGCAATGGTGTGACTTCTGACATACGTAGGTGGTGATCAGGGGAGGGGATGGCTTGTTCATTCAGGAAACTAGCTTTTTATTACAAAGGGCTTGCGATGGGGTAGTGGTGCTTGTGAGACCCATATGGAAATGATCACTTCTTTGGTGCAATAATGCCTTCCAGTTGGGCCTGAAAAACAAAAACAAACTCCATTAATATTTGAAACTTGCAGCCTAACACGAATAGCTGAGAGGTGATAAAAGTCTCTGGGAAGGATAATCCCAGTGCTGCCACTCCAAGCATCTCCCCCCCCCCTTTCATTCCCAACTCCATATTTTCTAGATTAGCTGGTTTCTAACTTGGCATACAGTCTTGCTACATTAGGAGAAACCAGAGCTGTCCTGGTTTCCATACAATAATGGCTCAGTGCATTATATAAAGCACTGAAAAGGAAATTGAATCAAAGTTGTTGAAATAGTGGTTTTCATGGCTCAGATTTTGGGCCTAAATATGTCTGTTAAGTTAAACTTGGGGATCCTGGGAGCTCTGTGCTGGGACAAGAGGTTTGGGAGACTGCAAATTTTTAGCAACTGAGACAACTTGACACCTAATTAGAGAAAATTGCTACCAGTGAGCAGGAAGCTGTCCGTCTTGTATGTAAAGCTGAAGACACTTGGGAGTTACTTGCTCTGCTCCTCTGGCAGCCAGAAACAATTTACACTTGTGGTGTGCGGACAAATCTTTAAGTAGGTCTGTCCTGGGGACTGCAAACACTGCTTTATTTGCAGTGCAGTTTTGAGCCAATAAAAATAACTCACTTCTAAAGAGCCCTTCACCCTGGGGATTACAAGGTTGCTTGTAAATGTTAGAAAGATGCCAAGGTATTCTGCTTTGCTCTCGCCGCCAGTACTGTAGGAGTAAGGAGCTTGGGCTTAGGATAAAGGAGTAAGGCAGATAAGAGAGGCAGCTTCAGAGGCTGCTAAGTAAACATGCACATCTGGCGGTGAGTGTTTCTAGCTTTTTTTGTTTTTGTTTTTGTTGAGCTCAGCAACAAGATCTATGTCATCCTGCACTAGCCATTAATACAAGCCCTTTATCGCAAGTGCCTCTCTCTTGGGTCCGTAGTGCCAACGAGCCTGCCAGTCACAAGAATGTAAGCTTTCCATGAAACTAGGGTGAAGAGGGAGAAAAATTCAGGGGCTCCTTCTGGCCAGGGCCATGGGAGACAGCCACTAAACGTCAATGGGCCATATATCTAGAACAGTGGTTCTTGAACTTGAGCAAGCATCAGAATCAGCTGGAGGCCTTGTTAGATTGTTGGACCCCAGCCCCAGAGTTTCTGATTCAGTAGGTCTGGGGTGGGCCTAGTCATCTATTCCTAATGATTGCCAGGTGATGAGGATGATGCTGGTCTGGAACCCAACCTTTTTTTTTTTTAAAAAAAAATCCTTACCAGGGGACATACTTATTGATTTTAGAGAGGGGGGAGAGAGCAAGAAACATTGATGTGAGAGAGAAACATCTATCAGTTGCTTTCCTGTACGTGCCCCAACCAGGGATTGAACCCAAAACTTTTTGGTGTAGGGGACAATGCTCCAACCAACTGAGCCGCACCTGCCAGGGCTGGAACCCAACCTTTGAGAATCTTTGGACCAGATAGCCTTGAATTTGAGGCCTGGCCCCCTGCTCAGCCCTTTTCTTCACCAGCTCCCCCTCCTCCCCTTCCCTCCAGTTCAGCTGGATAAAAATACACACCCGCAGGAGGGCTTTGAAGAAAAACACCTACAGCCCAGTTTCTCTGACCACACACCTGCGGAAGGTTCCTGATTTGAAGTGGTTCTTCCCTCTCAAAGGGCCTTCCTTGCCCTCCCCCAGTGCAGGGCCTGGGTGCGGGGGACTGACCGCAGGTGGGAAGCACCCCTGTGAAAGCCCGATGAAGGGCGCCAGCCCACTCTAGGAAGGCTTAAATTTCCAGCTGCCATGGGTGGGCAACTTTTTCCAAGGGGGAAAAAACCTCCACTGGAGAGCCAGGCAGAGGGGTCACAGGGATTCAGAGTTGAGAACAGAGCCCCCTCCAGAACCAGATGGATGGAGAAGCTGGGTAATGAACCCTCATCTCCCCCTGAGCCTCTCCCCCTCCACACACACAAGGCAGCTGCTTTTACACCTGGGCAGCACATGCGGACAAGTATTTAAAGTCATCTGCAGGAAGGAAGGGAGTGCGCGGCCTCCGGCCGGCGGGCAGGTGGGCGAGCACCTCTCCCGGGCCGCACGCACCTTCAGCTGCTGATTCGTGCGCTTCAGGAACTGAATCTCCTCGTTGTGCTTCTTCTCCTCCACCTGTCTCCGCTCAGTCTCCCGCTTCTCCGTGGCCTCACACTTAGCCTTCTGCTCGTTCACTTGCCTCTCCAAGTCCTTCTTTTCTGCTTCTAATTCTGCAATCTAAGGACAGAACCCCCAGTCATCCTGGGATGGTGCCAAGCGGATGGGGTGGCTCAGCGCCCCGGTGGAGGGGACCTGGAACACAGCAGTCCAACCCAAGACATTGCGAGGGTCTGTACTGCCACCCAGTGGAAGGTCAGTGCCTGACATGGCACGTCCAAGAGGAGACAAGCCTGTCATGACCAGGCTGGCCCTTACCCTCTGAACCAAGGGTCCTCACTGAGGTGATGAGGAGCACCCCAGGAGGCCAGAATTTAGTGCCAGAATGACAACCATGTCACCCTGAGACAGAGGAGTCACAGAGGCCAAAGGCTCGTGCAAACCCCACTCACTTTCCTCTCCATGTCTGACTTCCCCTGTTCAGACTGCAGCGCCTTCCTCATGCCAAACGCCACGCTGCTCTCATACAGGGTCTGGTAGGCGGCGATGGTCATGCGGATCTCGTCCCGGACTCGCAGCAGCAGCAGCCCCCTCTCCGCACAGTTGATGGTGACTTCTCGAATCAGCTCATCTTCCAATACACACACACAGTGGGTCAGAGAAGGCAGGAGGAAGGGGAAATACACCGTGTCTACTGCACACCATCCATCCTACTGGGAAGGATGCTAAGGTGTGTCCTCACTAGGAGACAGGTCTCTGGGAGGGTCTTCAGTGGTCCCAGGAGCCTTGCCGTGCAGCTACCGCTCTGAATTTGGCACGTGGGAATCGGCAAGCCCAGGGCAGAGGGAGACAAGTGCCCTGGGNCTCCATGTCTGACTTCCCCTGTTCAGACTGCAGCGCCTTCCTCATGCCAAACGCCACGCTGCTCTCATACAGGGTCTGGTAGGCGGCGATGGTCATGCGGATCTCGTCCCGGACTCGCAGCAGCAGCAGCCCCCTCTCCGCACAGTTGATGGTGACTTCTCGAATCAGCTCATCTTCCAATACACACACACAGTGGGTCAGAGAAGGCAGGAGGAAGGGGAAATACACCGTGTCTACTGCACACCATCCATCCTACTGGGAAGGATGCTAAGGTGTGTCCTCACTAGGAGACAGGTCTCTGGGAGGGTCTTCAGTGGTCCCAGGAGCCTTGCCGTGCAGCTACCGCTCTGAATTTGGCACGTGGGAATCGGCAAGCCCAGGGCAGAGGGATT